GAGGAGACATTTCCTTCTCAGGAGGTTATTTCAGGCGCACACGCTGGACCCATCCCTGCGGCTTGCTCAGAGCCAAGTGTCCCCAGTGCATCCACGACCACAGGACATGCAAGAGCAGACGCCCAAATCTCACCCAGCCAAATCCTCAGCTTGCAGCAATCCTTCCCCTCTCCTTCCCACCCCGTATTTCACCCTACCAAAGTCCCCCCGGGTCATTGAGCAGCCGCTTGCTCCGTCACGGCAGCACTTGCGAGGAGAACCGCGCTCTTCAGACCGAGTTTGCATTAGCCGAGCCCCGGCCGCGTGAATTATGATGACCTATTTAAGCAGGTCGGGCAGGCGTGGATTGCAAGAGGGAGCTCTAATTAATGAGCGAGGCAGAAGCCGGGCAGTTGAGCTAGGCTGAGCTCAAATCCGGCCTCCTCTTTCCCCCTTTCCTTCCTTAGGATAATCAAGGCTAAGTAATCAAATCCTTGCAATCAGCTCTGCTGCTTGGTACGGAGAGCGCACGGAAAAAGGTGCCAGCTCCTCCTAATTGCCCTGGAAAACATCCTGCTGCAGGACACATTTCACGGGATTTTTTTTTTTAAAGCAATGAGCATTGCACAAAATATTAAAGCATTTCTCTAAAACATGGTGTTAAGGTGAAGATGAGTCATTTCGCTGTCATAACACAGCCAGGGTGAACGGGAGCGAGCAAAGCTGCAAATTCATGCAGAAATTGGCTCTCCCAGCCCTGCGCCGGGAGGCTTTCAGGGCAGACGAGGTGCCACGTTGGGCTCTTGCTCCGCGATGGGCACGGGTTGCACAGAGCCAGCCCCCTGGCAAGCCGCCCCCTGTTTTTCAGGGATACACGAGCTCTGCCCTGGTGCCGGCTGCAAAGCTGCACGGCAGAACTTTCAAAGTGAAACCAATGGTGACAGAAAGGACAACTTTTAGAGAAATGACATTAAAAAAATAAGAAAAAAAATCCTGAAAGATGACTCCTGTCATCCAAAAAAAAAAAAAAAATTTGGGTTATTATCAATTGAAAAGCAACCAGTTCAATAGCAACTAAATAACAGGGAGCTAGTGCATTAATCAGAGCAGCCAACCTCCTTTTTCTCTCCTTTACTCCTACCTGTTTTTATCTAGGATTGCTCCCTCCTATGTCCTGCTTGGTGCCTCTGCCATCAAACAGCTGCCCTGGAGAATCCCCTTGACCATGCCTACTGCAGGGGACCAGCAGGGAAATTGGAGCTTGTTAATATTTCAATGCTCCTTGATGGGGTGCTGTTAACCCCTTGAACCTAAGGCAGTCAGGAAAACCAAGCCACTAAAGGCAACTGCAGCTCTGTGGCACAGGCAGAACCAAGTAGAGTTGCCCATGGTGAGTTTTTGTGCATAGGCTACACAAAAGCCCTGACGGAAGAAACCTGAGCAAATCAAGGGCAATAGCTCAAATGCAGCAGGGAGGCTCCCTCCCAGCCCATTCCCTGCCCTAAAAGCCCTGAAGACAAAAAAACACAAGGAAAAAATAACGTATTTAAAGACTACGTGGATGCATCCCACCTGTGCTCTTTAAATCCTTGTGCATATTCTTGCATTGCAGCCAGGCTGGCCCGTGTCACTTCCACGAGGCTCCAGCTCCTTGCAGAGCTCCTGCTTGCCCCAAAGTGCAGAGAACAAGCTCAAACTCATGACAGCTGTTGCTGCCCCCACCCACCTGGCCTGCAGGGAGAAGCAGCAGCTCCAACCACCACCAAGTCCCCACGAGACCCTTCTTATCACCACAGGCCTCCTGCAGTACTTATCTACTCTGCTCCTCAGCGGAGGATGGAAGATATTGATATATTCCTTTCTTTGTATAAATGAGGCTGTTTCTAAGCAAACAAGGCTCATTATTCCAATTTTCTCCACAAAGCACCATCCTATCCAGCAAACAACAACCCCGCTCTGTCCTGATGACCAAGGCAAATCTTCCCGCTGTCAGTGCCCGCTGCTTGGCAGACGATGTGTGATAACAACTGCTCTTCTGCACTGGAAGCCTGGTCGGGAATACGGCCCTGGCTCCCTAGGAGCCAACGTGTCCCGAGTGCCGATATCATCAGCTGCAGCTATTAACCTGCAGGAGCTCTAACGCCTTTTGGAAAGCACTGATCACCTCACCCGCACAAATCACCCCCATGGCTCCCTGAAAGCCTCATTTGGATCCTGAAAGCAAAAGCAGCAGCATCAACAAGGGTCAACTTCTTCCTCCTGGCCACGCTTCTTCCCCACGGGGCTGAGACATTGCATGACGCTCACACTGCCTTCCCGACACCATTGCTATGGGAAGAGTAAATATACCAAAATCTACAGGAATTGCTGTGGATTCCTCCTCTCTAAACATCCCTTTGCTTTCTGTTTGCCTCGCTGACGTGCTCTGGAAAAGCAGGGGCACTGCTTATTGCTGGGAGGCTAAAGGAAACCAAAGCTCCTCTACCCACACGAGGCAGTAAGAGGAGATTTCCAGTCACCATCTCATTCCACCTCTGTCCTCACAGCTCTTTGTACCACCTTGGAACACAGTTTTGCACAAAAAAAATCCCCCAAGCCAGAGCTGCTCTTCCAGTGGGGGCCTCCAACCAAATTTGCCCCCCACGACTCTCCCCACAGCCCCACACTGTGGGTGCATTCAACCAAGTGGGTGGCACCAGGACAGTCCCACTCACCATGGGTCACATCTGCACCAACCTGCACACACCGAGTTACGACCAGGCAGATCCAAAACCCTCATATTTTTCTACATATTTTCCCCCAGAGAACCCTTCTGAGGACAGTAAACTTCACGTTGCATCCTCCTGAAATTTTCCATCTTCCATTATTTCTTTCTCTTTGCCCAAGGCAACACCTATTCCTAAAAATGTCCTCCCTCTAAGGGGTTTATCATCAAAACCCATTTTCCTGTACAACTGCTCACAAACAGTGCCAGCCTTCCCAGAACAGGAGGGAAGAGCACTCCGGGGGTCTTTCACCTGAAAACATTATCCAGTTCACTATCATTCCTAAGTATCTTCTTGGACTCCCTTCCAATTTCGGTTTAATTTTGCTGGGACCAAACGGCTGCTCGGTTTTCCCACTGAGATACAGGAATCACCTGCAAGGATTGCACGCAGCGTGCAGGAAATAAAAGGTATCCCTGTTTGCTGAAAAGACAGTTATATCCATGAAGGAATTACATCCCTGCGTGCAATGGAGTGCTCCCTTCCCTGCAGGAGAGCTCCAATCTTCCCAGAAAAGGGTGAGCATCCTCGGAGGAGCAGCAATCCAGCACAATCCATAGCTACGTGGCCGTAAGAACAGACCCCTGCACCTCCACAGACAACCTACCCCACTCCAGGGGGTATTTCACGTGGATTCTTGCATTTTTTTTCTCTCTAATATTAAAAGCAAGGTCAGGGAAGCTGTAGCTTCATGCTGCATTTAAGGGACTAAAAGGGAATCACGTTCCTTGCTCCGGTTTATTGTTCCCCCCTCTCTTTGCAGGCACGTGAAGGCAGAGTGCTTGCATCTCACTGCTACTTCTGCTTGCTCCGGCGGGTGTTTCTGGCAGCCTCTGCTCCCGAGATTCCAGCCGCATTTCCAAGCCCCGCTCAGAGACCCAGCTCGGGAAAAAGCCACTCCTGGAGCAGCACAGCCCTGGCACGGACCACATCTGGATCCGCAAAGCCTGGGAGCAGCACAGCCCTGGCACGGACCACATCTGGATCCGCAAAGCCTGCCCTGCTCTCCCTCCCTCCCTGCACATCCGTGCATCCTCGCCTGGTAAAACCAGCCCGTTTTTAACCCAGCAGCCCGCTGCAGAGCAAGGCGCCCTGATGGCCCCGATGCTCTGAGCGCACCCCGAGCCGCCACGATGCGACGGGGACCGGCCACGTCAGCGGCTCCGGAGCCTCCTCCGCCGGGAGCGGAGCCCCGGCACAGCTCGGCAGCCGCGGACGCAGCCGCGCCAGGTAAGAGCAGCTCCGGCCGCGGCTCCTCCGTCCATCCGTCCTCGCCGACAGATGGATGCACACGGGGACCCTTCTTCCAGCAGAGCCTGGGGCCGCTCTGCGACTGTGCTCCCCACGGGGGTTGCTCATTCCCTTAGGAATTCTTGCAAGCGGCGGGACGAGCAGCAGCACGTGCGGTTACAGCCGGAGGGCTGCAAAGGGACGGGGTGGCTCTCGCAGGGAGCCTCAAGGGGACCTGTCCTCGGGGCACTTCCTTTTTTCCCCTTTGCTGGGTAATCCCGGACTCCTGAAATCGCAGGTTTCTCCTATCAAGTTTTGTGGGATGGGGATAGTCTGCATATTGACTGAGGTCATAATCTAGCTCTGGTTTAAAACTTGTGTTGATCGTGGGTTAAGTTTCTTACATTTCTAGTTATAAACCTAAAATATTTAAATGCTCCTCGAAGTCTATTGCTTTTCCTCTCCTTTTTCTTTTTCCGCCTCTCCTTCTTTTGCCAGAGGGACCTGGGAGCCCCTGTGTCTCCCACTGCCTCGTCTGGGAAGTCTTGGTCGATGAAGTACCTGAAGTCCCTGATCCCAAGGAAAGCACTGATTAAACATTGTGTTGCTTCTGCTCCGGAATGGAAACTCGTGTGTTGTGTGAGTGCAATGGCCAGCTTCCCTAAAGGGCTCTGAGACAGTCTCCAGGTGCCGGGCAGGCTCCTCTTCCCTCCGCTCTGCTCCTGCAGCCCCAATGAGGATTCTCCTCGCAGCCCGTTGATCAGGAGCAGCCAGGGCTCGGGGGATGCTCCAAGCGAGAAGACCCCCTCTCCTCACCCTCTTCCTCGCTTTGCTCATGGAGCCTTGTGTTATCCTCCCTTTTTCTCTGCTTTTTCGAAAGTTTTCCCTTTGCAAAGGCTGGGGACAGGAGAGGTAAGCTAGGTGATCCATGCTGCTTTGGGACCTGCTCTCCGGAAACCACCCGTCTCTAAATGAGAGTGCAGCTCGGGGCACCAACAAGAGGCTCCATCCCGGCTGAGGAGGCTCTAGGGACACCTGAAAGCAGCCAGTGACCAGCAGGAGCCAGCATGGGAAACAGCTCAGGGTGGGATGAAGGCAACAGCAGCTGCAGCAGCGCAGGCAACAGCTGCTACCTGGACAGCAGCCTGAAGCTCAACTTCACCTTCCAGGAGCAGGCACCTGATTTCTATGTCGTCCTCCCCGTGATTTACTCCATGATCTGTGCCGTTGGGCTCACAGGCAACACTGCTGTCATCTACGTGATCCTCAAGGCCCCCAAGATGAAGACGGTGACAAACATGTTCATCCTGAACCTCGCTATAGCTGATGACTTGTTCACGCTTGTCCTGCCCATTAATATCGCAGAGCACCTCCTTCACTACTGGCCCTTTGGGGAAGTCCTCTGCAAGGTCATCCTGTCCATAGACCACTACAATATCTTCTCCAGCATTTATTTCCTAACAGTGATGAGCATAGACAGGTATCTGGTAGTACTGGCTACAGTCAGGTCCAAGAGGATGCCACATCGCACCTACCGAGCGGCCAAGATTGTCAGTTTGTGCATCTGGGTCCTGGTCACCATCATAGTTCTCCCTTTCATCATCTTTGCCAATGTCTACATAGATGACCTGCAGATCAAGAGTTGTGGCCTGAATTTCCCCAAGCCTGAAAGGTTTTGGTTCAAAGCCAGCAGGATCTATACCCTCATCCTTGGCTTTGCCATTCCGGTATCCACCATCTGCATTCTCTACACCATGATGCTCTACAAGCTGAGGAACATGCACTTGAACTCGAATGCTAAAGCCTTGGACAAAGCCAAGAAGAAAGTCACTGTCATGGTCTTCATTGTCCTGGCTGTCTGCCTCTTCTGCTGGACCCCCTTCCACTTGGCCACCATTGTGGCTTTGACCACGGATCTACCCCAGACCTCCATGGTCATCGGTATATCCTACTTCATCACAAGTCTAAGCTATGCCAATTCCTGCCTCAATCCTTTCTTGTATGCTTTCCTCGACGACAGCTTTCGAAAAAGTTTCCGGAAGATGCTGGAATGCAGAACTTCCTGAAAGAGTCATTCGGGGCTCCCAGATCCTTTCCCCCCACAGCTTTGCGGGGACAACTTTGCAAACCTTTGAAAGGATGGCTAAGAAATGCAGAAGTGCTCTCCTTTCTCTCTGATTGACACGTTGTACGTGTGTGTTTCGCTTGGCTTGTTATCATTCGCGTGCACTCTACCCCTTCCTTGTAAATCTGGTGCTTTCCTCCTCTGCATCTCCCAGGTTCTCCAAGCTGCATCTTCGTAATCTTGTTCTTGTCACACCTTGAAGCCCTAAAGGCAGAAAGCCACTCTCAGAACATGTATTTCTGCTCCATAACAGTCCTTTATTGCCATCTGCTGTACAATACAGATAAGCTGAGTTTCTTCCCATGTCTTACTATCGAAAGAGAGCAACCTTTGAGGATCGATGTAGGCTTCAGTTCTTAAGAGATTTATTTGGGAGATTGCTCCGTGAAGCAGAGTTAACTGCCATTCACCACAGTGTGTTCAGATATTTGACATAGAAAATGGAAAATAAATGAATATTTGAAAGAAATAAGCTAAGCATTTTCCTGTCTGTGTGTGTACACTTGTGTTTTGGGCGTATGTTTGATTCTGAGGGATGTCTAGCTCCTCTAAAACTCCTACTTTCTTGTTAACACAAATTCGAATATAAACCAAAAGCGAAATCTGTATCTCAAAAATGGTGTTGAGCAACAGATATTATGGCAACTGTGGGATTTCGTTTTGTATTTGTAAGTTTTTAACAACATTATTTCATTGAATGTTAAAAACATATTTATTTGGGAGTGTTTGATGAAATAAAGTTGGTGGAAAACAGTGTGTGTGCCTCCTTTCACTAATGCACACTGTTATATCAGTTATCCCATATCACTGCCTTCTATTTTGCCTGCTGCAAAACAGGATCTTGCCCATGCAGAGCAGGATTAGGGTGTTGTAAGCCTCAAGAAAAGCCCTAAAAAGCCTAGCAGATAAATTCCTCACTTAATAGCAAAGGCAAGGGACCTGAACGTAAGCAAGGCCTAAGGGAAAGAGAGTCTGGAGACTAGAAATAACATTAAAAACCACAGGGACCAACCAGCAAAGGTAGCTTTGGCTTACTAGGTAAATATCTATTAATACCCATGTCAGAGCTCTGCTCTTCTGGCTCAGTATTAGCCAGAATTAGCCTTATTAGATGAGAATGATGACTTATCTTTAACCGGGTGCAGGCAAGGCTGGAGCAGACCCGCCAGCCTGTGCTGGGCAGGGACACCACGAGTCCCAGCATCTTCGTCACGCTTGCCACCTGGTGGCAAAGAGCTCCAGAGCTCCCCAGTCCCAGCTGGAAAACAGTTCTCTGAGTGCAGAGTGGCTGCAAATGATGCCACCACGTACACAGACTGCTTAACAAGCTATAATACCATGTTCATTGGTGTTTTAGGTCTGTAGGAAAGCTAATATGTTATTAAGCTGAAAGCCAAAGCACTTTTTTGTTAGGTAGCCTCTTTCGGACCCGACAGTGCCATTGATGGGGTTTCTCCCTTTGCATCAGTTGTCCCAGTTGCTTCCAGTGCATTAATGTGCTGCATGTGGGTGCTGATGCACAGGACACTGCAGGGACCCATGGCCAGGGTCTCACACACTTCCAGAGTCACCAAGGCCGGATGATGACCCTGGGAACGATCCAGCCCAGGCCAGCCCTGCAGCAGGATCAGCTGCATGCCCAGAGCCAGCTCCTGTTAGGCTCCGATTATCTGCAGGAGTGCAGACTCCAGCACCCCTGGGCAACCTGCTCTGGGGTTCAATCCCCCTTAGAGTAAAAATAAAATAAAAATAAAAATAAAAATAAAAATAAAAATAAAAATAAAAATAAAAAAATAAAAAATAAAAAATAAAAATAAAAAATAAAAAAATAAAATAAAATAAAATAAAATAAAATAAAATAAAATAAAATAAAATAAAATAAAATANAATAAAATAAAATAAAATAAAATAAAATAAAATAAAATAAAATAAAATAAAATAAAATAAAATAAAATAAAATAAAATAAAATAAAACCATTTCAAGTGGAATTTAGTGCAGTCTGTGCCCATCAGCCATCACCCACCCCTGCACCCCATGCACGGATGAAGCCACACTGTCCCCGTGGTGGCTGTGCTTCGTTGCAGCTACACTAAGTGGCACTGTCACCTTGCCACTCGCTGGCAGCATCGCCAGCATCCCTGGCTAAGCCTTGCACAGGGAGGAGACGGCGTTTCCATGCTGGAGCCACAAGCTCCCCACAGCACGTCTGCATCAGGGTGACCTCCCATCAGACTACCCGGGCAAAATGGGCTCCAGGAGAGCAAACACAACCCCTGGGGAGATATCTGCCCATGCTTTGCACAGGTTCACTCCAAGGAGAACAGCTCTGCGTTCATTTGAATGTCACCAGCTCACAGCCAACCTCCTTAGCGCATCCTTAACAACTCCCCTAAATCCCTACTAATGCCCTTCCAAACCCACCTGCGGTCCAGGCTTTCCGGAGGCTGAACCCTCCGTGGCTGCTGTCCTAACACCCCTGCCAAGCTGGCCACGTGTTATCCTGGGAAGCCAGCTCAGCCCCGAGAACCACTGGATAAATTTCCCTGCCGGATAGCCCAGGGATGTGCAGAGGTGCTGGGTAACCTCAGCAGCTGAGGGCTGCAGGATCACATCCCGCCCATGGAAGGCAGCAGGTTTGGATCTACCCTTTCTCTCCAGGAGTATTTTTTTTCCCCTTTTCTTTATTCCTCCCTTTCTTGCTTTTCCTGGAACCACAAGGACAAACTATCCCCAAGGACGGCGCTTCGTCAGCCTTGGGGGAGATGGAAAAAAAAGCTGTTTTCTGCCTCAGGAACTTAAATTAGGGCTCATATAGGGCTTGTATTCCCAACGCCAGCTTTAAACGCAGGCCTCCAAGATAAGAAGTGGGAATTGGAAATTACTATTGCCTTTCAGGTCCTTATGCAGCAGCGAGGAATAATGACAGTATCCATCAATTGTCCTCGTCTGAGTTAGTCTCCGACTTGTTCCCACGCACAGTCGTAATCCCCTGGTACTTCCATTGTCTCAGGCTGCATCCTGCTGTCAATTGTGATTTGGGGTAAGAAAAGAAGTAATCGCCACCGAGGCACCACAGCCTTGTTTGCAGAAGTATCTTCAGGTGCAAAAAAGAATCTGAAAGTAGAGATTTAAAATGGATGAGTGAAAACCTGAAATACTGCAGATGTGAAGCAGAAAGGTCTCTAAAAGATAGTGTGTATATATATTAAAAAAAACCCTAAAATACATACTTTGCCCGTTCTTGTCCCCACCACATGCCTTGTTGTCCCTGGGATGCTGGAGCCTCTGGGTGCCATCTCTGCTGGGGAAAGATAGTGTTAACGTGCCACCAGCCCCAACCATCCCAACAAACCCACCTTGGTGATCTTCCTTCACCTCCGGTCAGTTCTGGGTGATGTGAGCTGGATTTGGTGCTTTCCACCAGCTTTTGAGAAGAAGGGGAATTGCCAACCTGGGGTCTCTTTCACCCAGTAAACCAGGAGGTCATTTCAAGACCCTCTTTGATCCATGTGGAGACATTGCTGGTGGCTCCGTGTCCCAGACCCTGGGCTTTGCCTGGAGCAGGGCAGGAGCTCATGGTAATAAACTCATGCAAATGAATCGGCTGGAAATGCTCCATGGGTGCCCTTACTACAGAGAGGATGACACAGAAACCCTTAAAAAAAACTTGGAAAACCAAATGCTATATTGCCCCATTTCATCTCCCCCAGCACTTCCTTTCTGGGTGGAAAAGAAGTTAGCTTAATGCCAAATGACAAGTCCAAGGATGGCAAATATTGCCCAGAATTTCTAACTGACATTTGTTTTTGGTAAATAAAGATGCGGAGGGAAAGATCAAAGCTGTCTGAATAGCTTTTAATTACCAGCCTCAATTGCTCTATTTTCTCCCAGAAAAGTATTACAATTATCTAACAGAGCTCTTCAAGTGGAATTAGGCACTAGCCTGAAGCTTCGAGAGCTGCTTAGTGGCTATCTTCCCCTTAAAAAATACATTTGTTGTCTAGATTAAAAAAAACAGGCACTCCCATTAGTGCCTAAAGCCAAATCCGGTACTTGCTACTTAAACAGAGGGAGGCTGCAGAGCTCGGTCCAGAAGGAGATGAGCAGCCTCCATCCACCCCACCTGCAGCTCATCCCAGCTCTGCTAGATTGTTCTGGCCATGGTCCTTCCTGGGGCCTTGTATCTCAGTGCCCGACCATCCAGGTGGGACATTTTGTCTTAGCCGAGAACGAACATCGCTCTGCTTTGACCTCTAATTGCTTCTTTTCTCACCACTAGCAGACACAGACAATGAGGATTCAAAGCCAAAGCTGGAACATCCCATCCAGGACCACAGCAGAAGAAGGAGCCACAGCTCTTGATGAGGACCAGAGGGGTTTTCAGGGCTCTCCTAATGTAGGGACATGCATCCTTTTCATTTATTGCCTTTTCAGGTGTGTCTGACCCTCATCAGGGCTGCTCCGTCCCAGATGGCATTTATTTCCCCTTCCCTAGGTGTAGGAGAAAGAAGATATCACCTTGGCTGAGGTTTTCTCCCCAGTCTTTGCTCCATGGGGGCAGACAGATTCTTTTTGCAAGCAACAGAGTGTAAAGGGAGCAGAAGGGAGGAAAATAAACTATTATTTGGGTGTAAGATATTTGACAACCAGGCCCTTCCTCTCTGGGTCTTCTGTGTGTCTCTGTCATCTCCATGTGCTCTGCCTCTCAATATCTGGAGACCAAGCCACATCAGAACTCAAAGCCCAAAACATCCACCAGAGATCACTCAATAAAGCAGGTGAACAAGGAAAGCGGAGAAATAAGGATTCGATTTCACAAGCTCAACCTTCCGATGAGATTAGTGGCTGATAATGAATAAAGAGGGATTTCAACGCAATGAAGTACATCTCGGGAGACTCAGCCCACTGCTGCTTTAAACGGATGCAAACGATATGGATGTAATTACATTTCTCCTCTTAGCAGCAGTGACAAGACAAGATCAGTAGCCACCGTCCTGCCGTGGAGGTGACAGGGACTGGTGGATCTATGGGCAGCATTCAAGGGGAGTCAAGACATGGTCTTCCAATTGGACGTGGTCTAGCTCTACTCTCATGTAGATGTCAAAGCAAAAGGTGGGGTCAATGCACATCAAGAAGATTTCCATACCATCCATACCCCAGGAATGCAGGGAGGAAGGACAAATAGCATCACCAGAGGTCGGGCTCATTTTCCGCTCTTTTAACACGTAATCCCCAGAGGCAAGTGATTTTCTCCAGGAATTTTCTCCATGGTTAAGCAAAGCAAAAACAGTGGAGCGCTGAGATTAGGGAAGGTCCAAAATGACCAGAGCACATGGAGACATTTCTCTTAACGCCTGGCATTGAACAAACATTAAATAGCCAAATCACAGCACAGCATTCATTTCACACTGAGGAAAGCTAGCTGAAAAGCCATTAATCTTGATTATGTATTGTCTCTGTAGCTCGTGTTTATGTTCCCCATCACTGAGTAAATCAGTGTGGTGTGGTCTTTGGACAGGGACAGCGCTTGCTGCCCAGACTAAAAGCACACAAAAACCAGCGCTTAGGAGGTGGTAGAGCCAGCTTGCCTGCTCCTTACCTAATAGAGCACAGGAGGGTGTTGAAGAACTACGGAGGGAAGAGGATATGAGAAAGCAGGAGCAAGAGGCAAGACCATGCATGACACCATGGTGCAAGGAGCCATGAATGATCCAACCTGCACATTCCTGGGAAGAACGGCATGTACCAAGGGGGAGGGATGGATTTTAGCCCCCAAGACCCTCAGAGGCACCTCCACAAGAAGCAGGACGCGAGAGTATCTCAGAGAGAAGGCAATCCCGGCTCATTTTGGACGTCATCCCACGCTTTCCATTGCAGGGAGCGTTTGGTGGTGCTGAAGCAGAACCCATCAGCGTTGCGCTGCGACGGGAAGGGCGCCCTGCCCACGTCCTCCCCGCTGCCGCCCAGACGGCTGCCGTTGCGGTGCACGAAGGCAGAGGGAGAGCAGAGTGGGTTTCTATGCTTGATTAACAGCGTCGTTGCCAAGAGACGTGACCACACTGCTCCGCGGATCGATTCCTCCTTGCTAGCCTGCAATTTATTCAGGCTGGAGGGCTGGGAGGAGGAGCAAAAGGAGCTGAGGAGCAGCAGGGCTCTTTGTCAGGCCCTTCACAGGTCTGCCCGTTGCTCTGCACATTCCAGAAATGGGGCAGCACCATCGCGGCCAAGCCAGAAACATGCTACCGATGCTAAGCCTGGCCTTATATCGTGTGTGATTTGTGCAAAAGTAGCACATTATCCCCACCCTGGTCACTGTAAAGGCTCCTGAAAAATCATCCTTCCCACCAAAAACAAGAAAAAAGCCACTGAGTGTGCACACCTAGCTCTGCTGTCTCATAGTCCATCTCTTTTCCTCACTTTGGACCACCGGCTCTTTGGGTTATTGGCCAATGTCAAGGTGTTTTTCCCCCGTGAACAGGAGCTTGCTCTGCTGCAAAACTCTTTTCCCCCAAAAATAGCTGGAAGAAAGTCAATGGAAAGGGGCTGGGAAGCAAATTCATTCTAGCAGAGCCTGCTTTGCAAATAAGTTTTTTTTGTGTTACGGCTTTGCCCTAAGAACTGAAAAGAAATAAATATCAGGGATTTTTTCTCACCCACTTCTTTTTTTCCTGTAAAAAAATTATCACCTCCAATAGAAAAAAAAACCCTCCTGGTATCACCTGCCACCTGCAAATACCCACCTTGGTGCAAACACTTTTCCATCACCTTCACCCCTCAGTTTCCAGGCTGCTGCCAGGGAAAGCCAACATAGAAGTTCCCACTAACCTCACTAAAAGGATGCTTCAATTTTGCCATGCGTGCTGGGCGATGGCTTCAGCTGGAAAAATAAGCCCGCATGCAGACATCTCGGCAGCATCGCTCCACACCATTAAATCCCTCCAATTCCACAGCATTCGGAACACAGGCAGTTTATTTTTCCTTTATTAAAGCACACAAGTAGCCACCTAGGAAAGTGCAGTAACTGTAAAATCATAGGAACACAACCATTTCAGAGGAGAACTAAAGAGCCCGCGTTTCAGCCAGCCGGCTGCTCCCGAGCCTTTAGCTCCAGAGGCACAGGACGATAAAGCTTCTGCTTTCAGGTTTCTTGCTCCGATAACAAATTCCACTGAGCATTGAACAGAATGTCGAAACACATTCACTGCGAGGGCCACAAAATTACCCAAAAGCTTCGTAAACGCACATTTATCGAGTACTTCATTAGGCAAGATCATCGCAGCATAGTCTTTATAACAAAATTAGAAAAATTGCCGAATACGGGTGTAATTTTTAGAGGACGGAAATCTCTTGAAAAACCCAACTGAGAACTAAAAAGGGAGGGCAGCTGCTCCTGAGCGAGCTGCTCCAGCTTGCAAGAGGTTGTTCACTGCCCAGTGCTGCTAATTTATCCATGGATACAGGAGCCACCAACCTGATTTTGCAGGGATGCGGCGGCAGCATCTTCGGATCTTGGGTGGTGCTTCTGGGCACACAAGGGGTTTTAGCCTGGGGGGCTGGACAAGATTTCCCAGGCAGTGCTTGGGGGTTAATGTCCATTAAAAAGTGCTCAAAGTGCCCAGATTTCCACCCTTCTCTCTTCATTTATTCGAGAGAGGTGCTATTTGTCGTGTTTTCTATTTGCCAGGTTTGATATCCCTCCAGATTCCCAATAAACCACCAATTAGCCAGAGCCGTTCTCCAGCTCATGCAGTTTACAAGGAATCTGGGCCCCACACGTGGGACACTGGAATTGCACCTATATTTTAAGCCCAACCATAAGGGAAACTCTCTACCTAGAAATATAACATTGGATTCTTTTATATAGCATATATAAAGAACATGACAGCATTAAAATATTGGCAAATCAATACATTAAAAATACGGAATCTCATAGACCAGAGCACAATATATTCACACACAAAGACTGTACAGTTCAGAGGCTGCTGCCATTTCTCACATTGGAATTGATCCTGCCTTTCCAAGTGGATGTCAGCACCTTATTCCTAATCAGCTCCACTCACTGCCATTCCCAAAACTTCCCAGGATAAGGGGGAATACAAGCCAGCCTGCACAGAGGGCAGTTGGAGCTTAAATTCTTCCAAAGTGCTTCTATTTTCAAATGAAATGACAGGGCATTTCATTCTAACACATTATCCTCTGTGCTATTGGGAAGGGAGAGGAAAGAATAATAAAATTAAACTAAAAATCAATCCACAGCTGGCAGGAGGGGTGGTTCCTCAGCAGCATCTCCCAAGCTCTCAAGGGGAAAGGGACCCTCTGTCCCCACTTCATGTCCACCACTTCACTAAAATAAATTCATAAATAAATAAATAGTTGCAAACTCCACCCTTTGGAGATGCTTTGTACACCGTTCCTCAGGTGGAGCGGGTGGCAATGTCCCAGGCTGCCCCTCCTAGCAGAAATGTCCATGTCTTTTGGAGGAGCCGCCAGCCCAGCTCTTTCCAAGCAGCTTTCCTCTACCCAGAAATATACACATATTTAGGCCACAGTTTCCTTCGTCTCTTACTGGGAAAGCTCTCCAAGGCATGCTTGGCAAGGTGAAATCCAGTGAGGTATAGGCACAGCTGTACCTATAGCAATGCAGAGATGTCCATGGGTCTATATAGATAGACACTGTCCACTATCACACTGAAAACACAGGGTTAAAATAAAACCAAACAGCAATAGCAGCATGTAAACACGCATCTGTGTTCGTTTCATCCATCTCTCCTCTCCTGAGATTCCTCAGTTCCAACAGTCTCGTCCCAGCCCTCGAGGCAGAGGGTTTATTGCAGACCTCCATCCGCAGGAGCTGCCCTTGTCCTTGTCCCCAGGCTTGGCGCCAAGGTTCCCAAGCCCGGCACTTCACCTGGCTCCGCACAGCTGGAATCTCTCTCTCCACCAGCCCATCCCCTGCTCCCTTCACTGCATGATGACTCATCCTGGAGATGATCTAGGGTTTTGTCTGGCGGCTGTTCCCCATGGTGGCTTCAAAGTCTAATTTCAGAGCAATGCCGCAGGAATAAAATCCACGCGCGAGCGCCCGGTGAGCCCTATGAGCCGATGGCATCTTAAACAGCTCAGGGAGGAAGAAGAAGAGTTTGCATTTTGTCCGTCTCCCAGCAGCAAGGATGTAAGACCCAGGAGCAAAGCCTGGCTTAAACCCCTTAATTCCCCAAGTCTCCATAGTGTTGCAAACCACAAGAGGTTCTCGGGAATCAAAGGGCTGCTTTCAAACGCATTCTGCAGTGCAGGGTGCACTGGAATTAAAAATGCATCAATTTGGCTCACCTTCTGCAGGCTCTTGCAGAATCCGGTTTTCCCGACCCCCAGAATTGCCTCTCAGTTTTGAGGTCCTGCTAAAGAGCCGTTATCTGAGTCAGCTCTGACGTGGGGGTGGTCGGACTCTGCTGGGCCACGGCCACCATGGGAATTTCCATGCCTAGTCAGGCCGGATTGTTAGTCCCCTCCGAGTTCTTGCAGGCGTAAGCCACGTCCTTGGCAATGCTGCACATCCTGTTGGACATCTGGAGCTCAGTCCTGAAGGCAGTGGGGAAGCAGAACTTCTTGAAGCACGCCTTGAAGTTCTCATCCAAGAAGGCGTAGAGCACCGGGTTCAGGCTGCTGTTGGCGTAGCCCAGCGCGGTGCAGAAGCAGGAGATGGCCAACTCGAGCTCGCTTTCTGCCTTGGCACCCAGGCACTGCACCAGCACGAAGATCTGGATGGGCGTCCAGCAGACGATGAAGACGGCCACCACCACCAGGACCATTCGGGTGATGCGCCGCAGGTTTCGGTCCTTCTCCTTGGAGCCTGAGAGGACACGGACGTTCTTGAGTCGCCTGATCATGAGGCTGTAGCAGATGGTTATGATCAACACGGGGATCATAAAGGAGAAGAGAAAGACGCAGATGCCAAACACGGGATCCCAGTAATCCACCGGTGATGGGAGCTTAATTAGACAATCAATTTCTGCTGGGGAAAAAAAAGGAAAGAGGAGGCAAGATCAGCAAACCTGCTTTGGGAGCAAAAGCACCTCTACGTTCAGCTTAATTTAGGTATGTTTAATACTGGAAAAGCAGTGGCAGGATTACAAGAGGCAAGGGCAGAGGGAAAGGAGTTAAGACAGTCTGAGAGCAATGAGTTTAGCCCTCTATGGGAACCGGTACCCAACAAACTGCACCCAAGGTTGCTCTGACCACCATCTCCCTCCCGCCAGGACACACATTCACTGACCGTTGTTTTCGTTCTCTGCAGATCCCATCACCATGGCTGGGATGCCAAAGACAGAAGCCAGCGCCCAGATGCACACATTGACCACCTTGGCCTTGTGGGGAGTGCGGATGTCCAGCGCTTTGATGGGGTGGCAGATGGCAATGTAGCGGTCCACGCTCATCATGGTCAGCGTGAAGGTGCTGGTGAACATGTTGTAGTAGTCGATGGAGATGGCAATTTTGCAGAGGACATTGCCAAAGGGCCAGAAGCCCAGGAACGTGTCTGTACCCTGGAAGGGTAAGGTCATCAGGCACAAGGTATCAGCCAGAGCAAGGTTAAAGATGTAAATGTTGGTCGCTGTCTTCATCTTGGTGAACCTAAAACATGTAGCAATGAACAACAATTGGAGCCTTTAGGTATAAATTACCATTTAGATAATTTAAGTATTTATTTTAGAATGACCCTGGTTCCAGTCTCCTGAAGCCCAGGAGGAAATGAAGTCTGGAAACTCTCACCGTGTTTCATGCAAATGGACACAACTCTGTCATATTTTTGTTCTCCCATCTAGAATCTCTCTGAAAATTCACTTGAAGATGAAACACTAGAGAAACGCATTCACCTAACAATCAAGAAAACACAAGGATGGTTTTCTTGCAAGGGAGAGCCCTGTTCTACTGTGACTTCTGTACAGGTCTCCCAAAAGTACAAGATTGATGAAAAGGTCTGAGAGCAGGCAGAGAGTGAAAACGCCATGAATACATGGAGACTTAAAAATTCTCTAGTTTTCACTATACTTCTGCAGTCAATTCCCCTTAACATCACATTTTTCCCCCCTTAATGTTACAAAAAGCAGACATCAGAAACTCTCTACACAAGTAGCTCCCTGCTTATCTTCTATGAGGAGAAAGATGGAGAGCAGGGAGGGGGACGGAGGGGAACCAGCCCTCTAAAAGCGATGGAATTGATTTCGAAGTGTAATCTGGAGTACACGTGTCTTGCAACCGCTCTGTAAAGGGCACAAAACATCTGCAAATGAGCAGTAACTGGAACCCTAAGACACCAAGACGATACTTGTGAACACTAATTGCATGCATAGCAGTAGCCAGCAGCAAAAACATTACTAAAAGGTAAAAAAAAATAATAAAAATAAAAAAATAAATAAAAAAAAAAAAAAAAAAAAAAAAAAAAAAAAAATAAATTAAAAAAAAAAAAAAAAAAAAAAACCTGCAGCACCTCCCTTTAACCAGAAGATGCTTTTCAAGTAATCCAGCAAAAAAACAAAGCGTCTGGAACTGTGAGCCAGAGAAAGCGATTACCCTCTCTTTTATCAAAGGGCACCTTTCTACCCAGAAAACATTTTAGGTAATCGCTTCAGGCAGTGCATAAAGCTGATAAAAAAAAAAAAAAAGAAAAAAGAAAAAAAGAAAAGCATCTTTACTGTATTTTTTCCCAAAAAAAAATGAAAGGGAAAGACTTACAGGTTCCACCCCATTTGGCATCTAGGGAAGGTGCTGGGTGAGGAGCTGATGTCTCTTGAAGAACTCATTTTGCCACTTTCGGAAGGAGATGCTCCGTTTTTCTCACATCACATCAGTTGAACACCACCCTTCTAGTCCTACCTCCCACATCCTACTGACAGAAGTTCAAACCAGCTCTTGGGATGAAAGAAACGGCACTTTCCCATCGGCTTCACAGGCAAGAAAAGCCCGAGGCTCTCAGCTCGGATTGTGCTTTCAGAAAAATGACTTCAAGTAAAGCTCATCAAGGATTTTATCACATATGGCTTCGTTATTATGAATACTGGTGAGAGCTTTACCCAGTAATCTGGTTTGAAGGGTCCAGAGGCGACGTGATTAGCTGTTGTGCAGGAGTGTATGGCCAAACACTATGGTTGATTGGGGCTGTCAAGCCAGAGCGGGCGAGACGGCCAGTGCTGGCCAATGCCTACAAACTGGGGAGAAACATTCACCCCGGGCAAAATATCACAATGAGTCTCCATGAAGAAATATCGCTTTGGAATAAAATTCTGAATCAGCCCAGTTCAAAAAGGGTTTTGTCCTTAGAGCACAGCTTTTACCGGGGGGAATGTTGAACCAGCTGCCCCAAGACAAGGCTCGCTGTGCTCTTAACGTTCATCATCTCCATTTCAAGAGGGGAATGAGTCAAGGAAATATGTGCTCGTCCACCCAAGGTGCACATCAAGCCCACAGAACCGGTAGCTCCGCTCCCAAGCCTCCCATCTCGGCTACAACAGGCTTCCCATGGACAGCATGAGCTCTAAAATGCAGAGATGATTCTAAACCTCCCAAACACCTTGCATTTGCAGGACTAATAACAGCCTTGGTGGAACGGTGCCAGACACAGGGCACATCATGCTGTGCTACCAAGCAAGGGTAAGTTCATTTCAGAGCGTCGCTGAAACCCATGAACTACCGCATAATCTCTGGTTTATAATATATTGGAGTATTACAGGGTTTGATTTCACCTATAATACCCTTCTTTTGCAGAAGGGCAAAGCAGGGAACTGCCTGCCCTGAGCACTGCATCCTTCCCAGACCATCCGAGCTTCACTCCTTGTAGATGACTCGAGGGAATATTGCATCCTCCCTGCCCTGAGGTACCACAGAGGAAATTAAATCACTATCCTGTATTCAAACATATTAAAAAATATATATATTTTTTCAACTCAGACTTCAGAAAATTATCCTATCATCCAAGACTGCCTTGGCAAAGGTGTTCTGGGAGCCATGGACTGCTCTTGCATTCCCTAGACCTGGCTGGCCTTGCCCAAGCTTGCCCAAAGATCGAGCTTCTTCCCATCTGGAGTTTCAATTCAGACCCTTCTTACAAAAAAAGCGGCACATTTATCAAATCTAGGTGGTAGAAAAGACTGTTCCAGCCAGCCTTGCCAAAAACACCTTTAGAAAGGGAAATGACAAAAGGGTGCTTGAACTTTGCCTTGGCATTTAGAAATGAAGAGATTCCAGGGAATGAGGCAATTTCTGCACTCAAATCACCCAAGCCAGATTGTTGGGAGTAACAGAAAACATTTCAAGACTGCTTCAGAAAGTCATTTTTCTTCTGTATGCTTGGCTAGAGCTTCAACCATTCCCATGATATTTCAGAGATCAAATGGCCTGTTCTGTCCCCCTTCCAAAAAAAAAAAAAAAAAAAAGTCCCACAGGAGAGTTTCTCTGCAAAAGAGGAGAAAATTGCATTTTAAAATAAAGAGTAACTTAGCCATCTCCAAAAATGCTAAACCTGGGATGTCTACATTGCAAACCCCGCCTTCAAGCTCTTCCCAGCTGCACCTTGCAGGGTGAGCAAGCGAGGGCAGCTGGTCCTCAGCCAGCTTCCCTCCTCCGAACCCCCTTCCAAGCCAGGCTTGGGCTCTTAGAAGGTGGGAAGATTCATTTGCACTGAATTGCTCCTTGCCCCGCTCCCCGTGCGCCCTGCGAGGCAGCCAGCACTGCTGCAGCCAGCCCCTGTTCCCAAACAGCTCCAGAATGTTCAGTACCGACAACCAGAAAAAGAAAAAAAAAGAAAAAAAAAGAAAAAAAAAGAAAGAAAAAAAAAAGAAGAAAAAAAGAAAAAAAAGAAAAAAGAAAAAAAAGAAGAAAAAAAAAAGAAGAAAAGGAAAAAAAAAGAAAAAAGAAGAAAAAAAAAAAGAAAAAAAAAAGAAAAAATATCAATTAATCGCTTCTCTGCGGACTCTTCTTTTTCCCCAGGCACCGGCAGCATTCTCTCCTAATCCCTCAAAAAGAGGGATTAAACCAGCACGCCGTGGGCGGCAGCGTCCCCCCTGCGCGGTGGTGACGCGGATGAGCCCACGGGGGACGTTTGCTCCCTGCAGAGCCGTTCCTTGCACCGGGTCGGGGGAAGTTTTCCAAGGGAGCATCTTCCCACGGGGCTGCCTGGCCAGGTCTCTGCTCCTGCCTTGCTCCTGCCTTCTCCCAGGACACCCAAACAGGAGATTTATCGATATTAACTCAGCATTCAGCTTCACCCTCCTTTTTACTATGGGGATCCCATCACAGCCAGCCCATTTTCACATCCCTATCCGCTCCAAGATGCCTTGATCTTAACTGTCGAGCCTACACGTGCATCCCCACGGGGGCAGCTGTGAGGAGCACTGCAAAACTCCAGAAATGGAGTTTTGCATCCATTTTGCACTAAAAAGCTTGCACGGCTGCAGAGGCAGCTGATCCCCTTCACCTCGCGGGTCCCCATGGGGCTCAGCCCTTTGGACACAGGTTAAGAGAGGGCACAGAAAGAGCAACGTGCCAAGGTCTGGTGGCCCCTCATTGGCACCCGTGGGGCTGGCGCTGTGTTAACCACCCACTCTATCCCCGTGCTGAGACGCACGGACGATCACGGCTCTTCCCTTAGAGACTCCTATTGAGGAGGCAACAGAGCTGCAACGTCCTAATTAACTGGTCACACTGCACGGCAGCTCATGCCCTCTCTCCAGGGATCAATACTGGTTTTGGAGGAGATGAAATCCGTCTTGGCCTCCCGCGGGCAGGAGATGCCTCTGGCCATGGGTGTCATGAGCTTGGCTGTGCTCTCGGGTGCACTTTGCAGGCAGGAGCATCCCTCATTGCCCAGGATGAGCAGCTCCAACACAGAGCTCATCCGAATCATCACAAACCAGAGCCTGGACACCCAGCAGGACGGATGGAGAAGATCCTGCCCCGTCACATCCTCACCTCGGTCAGATCAACTTCAGCAAGAGCCTTTTAATGTCAATTTTAAGCATGCAGGTGCCTAAAAGTGACAAAGCAACCAATAAAAACCCAGGGGCCCAACAGCTCTAATCTGCCTAGATGGCTGCTTAAACTGCTCGGAAACGGTGCAAATCAATACGGAGAATCAAAGCGAGCTCCGCGCTGCCTGCAGAGCCCCAGCTCGCAGCAAAAGCTGCTCCGTGCAGGAGGGAAAAGTGCTGCCGGAGCGGGGAGACCCCGGTAAGGGGCCGCATGGGGATCCACGGGCTGCCCCCGACTATAAATTAATCATTCCAACTGCTAAACCGCTCCAAATATAACAGGGATGGAGGCTGGGCTCTACAGCAGAGAAAACCCAGCAGAGGCTTCGATTCTTATTTATTTGCATCAGAAATACCAAGAGGCTTTGCAGCTTCTCCCCGAGCCCTGCAAGAAACTCGTTCAAGATGAACAAAAAAGTCTTCCCGAAGCCTCTGGTTTCCTCGAGTGCCAATATTAGTCCTTGCGTTTCCCAACCAGATCAAAAGCAGGGAACAGCTCCTGCGTGTGCGCACAGGCTGCTCGTGCGAGCGCCTTTTGCCCAGGGCAGCAGCGCCCATAGGGCTGCAATTACATTTTGCTCCTCTTCCACAAACGGGAGAGCCATGACATCAGCAAAAGTGCCCAAATCCTACCTCGAAATGCCAGCATCCTGATTGCAGCTCACTGAAAGATACAGTTTAAGATACAGAGCCCAGGAGCTCCAGTGCTGCAAGCTGGCGAGAGAAGCTTCCCAAGGCACCCTGCCCATCGGGCTGCCGTCCAGCCCCACTGCTCTGCACAGCCACATTTATAGGGCTTATGGCTTGATATCCAGCCTATTTTTTCTCCTTTATTTAAACCTGGGGCAGTCCCAGTCACTGGGCTTACCCCTGGCCACCAGTCACAGGCCATTGCCCCCCAGCATCAGCTGGGAGATGCCCATGGAGAGAAGCAATAGAAAAGAGCAGCCTCTTAAGCATGTGCTGCCAGGGTAGGATTTCCCTCCACACATCACACATATAGAGATTTGGTAGAAGAATGGCTAAATTTCCCCCCGAAAAGAGAAGCCAAATAGTAAAAATATCTGCAGAGCATTTTGTGTATATAGGGATCACTGAGAAGGAGGGGCAGAAAACAAAGGTTGAGGGGAGAGGAGGCCACTTGTTTTTGATTGTTTTAAAGCAGGAAAAAGAAAATGAGGACAGAGTTTCAGGAAAAATCCCAGGAAATCCTCACTTTCCTTTCTTGGAAAGCACCATGCACTCATCCTTCTCAACATGACTGGGATGCTGCTTTGGGATCGTTATGAACCCTGGGCAATAAAGTCGCAGCTGATGCAGTCAGTGGCCGATGGGGACCAGCAGGTTCGTGCTCCCGGTGCCACCCTGTGCACGAGGCTGCAGCCGGGACTGGTCCCAGTTCCACGGCCAGCAGCATCACACCCACAAAGAGGAACCTGACCCGCTGGGAGAAACACGGCAGCTCTTCAGACCCCACGAGACCCTTGCAGCCAGGGCTGAGATTCCTCCCAGGGCTTCTCCTTCCCAGAGGTGTCAGCATTTAGGCCAGGACTTTCCCCTCCACCCACCCCAGCTCCCAGGGAGCTGCAATCCTCTGGGATAGAAGTCCACGTGAAGAGATTCCCAGCGAGGGGGCCCCAGCACCACCATGCCCAGGGCACATGTTGCTCTTGGGGATGCTCCAGCTCTAGGACACAGCATGGGAGGACACGGGGTCTACAGCTGGTGCAAGAGGGTCCAAAGGCCTCATCTTACACAAACACTGAGCCAGACCAAATGCTACTACCCCAAGTGCCACCAAGGCAAGGACTACCCAAAGAGAGCACTGGGGCACCACAGTCCTCCTCCATCCCCATCCTCATACTCCGCCATGCTGTTGCAATCCCTTCTCCCATCCATAAAGTCCTCCACGGAGAGAGCTCCAACAGGCAGCCTGACAAAGCCCAGGGCTGCTTCACCCTTGCAGAGATGCAGCCTTGCACAGGCCTGCGATGCTGCAGAGCTCACCATGCAGCTGCTGTCCCAGCAGAGCCACGGGACACATGGGAAGGATGCTTCGGAACCAGCAGGATTCCCAACAAGAGCCAGACTTCATCTCAATGCCCAAACAGCTGCTGAGCATTTTCAGCCTTTCTGATGGAGCAGAATGCAGATGTACCTGGTCTCTTCTGGGCTGAGAGCACCTACCTGTGCCAGGAAGCTGCTCCAAATATGTGCGAAATGGAAGTTTGTGCTTAGCATGCAAGGTGCACAGACCAGGAAAGGGCTGGCTTCAGCTGGAGCACAGCCTTGATGCACACAAACTATTTAGCACTTAAAGGGAAGATAAATATTTCCCGTTTCAGAAATGAGGTGGTTCAAGCCCAGCAGAGCCAGACAGGGACCCGTGCAAAGCGCAGGGGGTGGCTGAGCGTGCGGGAGGCCGGCAGTGCTGGAGCACGCTCTGCGCTCTGTCCCTCTGCTCCGCCGGCCTCTGCAGCCAGACAAGCTGTCCTCACCCCTGCCCCATCCCGTCACGTCTTATTTATAGCCCTAACTGCAAACAAGTTCCTCTAGCCACCTGAACGACTTTCCCCTGCAGAAATAACCTGGAGCCTCACAGCGAGCCCGGTCCCTGGGATCTAGATCGTGCTTTGGAAAATGCCAGCTCCCCAGGGAGCAGCCCCTGCAGCTGGCCTGGGTGCAGACCCCGCGCCGAGGGAGACATCCCACTGCAGAGCAGGCACCCTGGCACCCCAGCACTCTGCCCCTCTGCAGGGACCCCTGCCCCAAGCCCCACAGTCTGCAGAGCCCCCCACTTTTTTTCTAGATGTGATTGCTCTCTTCCATTCTCTGGGTTAAACTTTAGGAGGCACCAGAGGGCAGCTGAAAGAGCTGGTGAGAGCCTTCATCATGCCTAGGAGGGGAGAAAAATACTGGCAAAGCAATAAGACGAATGCCACATCTTTACCTGCATAACACCTAGCAAATAGCAGCGAAGCACCTGAACGGGTGGGATTTTGAGGGGCAGGACCACTCCAATCCTCCCCAACCCAGGAACATGCCGGCTGCGTGTCCTACCTGACAATCACATACATGACGGAGCAGTTGCCCACCAGCCCCACGATGCACACGATGGAGTAGACCACCACGATGGTGATCTTGATGCCGAGCGGCAAGAAGCCGTCGCCGGTGCCGTTGTTGAACCAGTTGCTGGGCAGGAAGCTCAGGTTGAGCATGGAGGAGTCGTTGAGCAGCTTCCTCAGGTCGGGGTCCTCCAAAATGTGGGCAGGGAAGAGGGGGTCCATGGTGAACCGCTAGCCCGCGCCAAGGACCTGGGGCAAAGAGACGGTTCCAACATGCAAAATGAGGGGGCTGCAGCAAAGCGGGGGGCAAGCGGGGACAAGAGCAGCCCCTTCCCCAGCGCACGGCAATGCGGAGGGAGCAGCCGGGGGCTCGCGCCCACCCCGGCCCCGCCGCAACCCGCTCACCTGCGCGCAGGCTCCGCTCCGGCGACAACGCGGCGACAACGCGGCGACAGCGGCGGCCGCAGCCTCGCCCGGCCCGCGGCTCCGGCGCGGGATGCGGCCAGCGATGCTGCGCTCCGGAGCCCCCGGGTTTAACGGGAAAAGGGAGGGATTGCGGGGGGAAATAAAGAGGGAGGGAGGTAGGAGTGCGGCTGGGCTGGGCAGAGCCAGCGCCGGCTGCCTGGCTGCTCGCACTGCGTAAGGAAAAAAGGCAGGAGGAGAAAGGGAAGGAAAAGGAGGAAGGAGGAAAAAAAAGAAGAGCGGAACGCGAGCCCGCACCTGAGCCCCGCCCGCTCCCCCCGCGGCCTCCCCCTCCGCAGGCGCCGCGAGGAGGCCGAATTGCGGGAGGGTTTTGGGGAATTGCGGGAGGGTTTGGGGGAATTGCGGGGAGGGTTTTGGGGAATTGCGGGAGGGTTTTGGGGAATTGCGGGGAGGGTTTTGGAGAGACGCTGCTCCGGGCAGCCAAACCCCACCTGGCTCTGCAGCTGAGCGACCCGGCGGCTCTGCCAGCGCGGGAGCCACCACACGGGGTGACCTAGAAGCCGCGAGCAGGCAGAGGGCTGGCGTCGGGAGGACAAAGATTTTTATTTATTTATTTTTGCAGTTTTTAAGCAGAATTTGTTAAATTCTTGCAGCCTAAGCCCCCCCCACACTTAGGATCAGAGCTGCAGCAGCACGTTTTGAAATATGCAATGCTAAAATAATTGTATTAGGGTGGGCAATCCACGCAAACGTTTGCATGTCCCTGCCTTCCCAAACCTGGCACGGCTTCAGCACCACAGCACTGCGCAGAACCTCCAAGTTTGCTCTCAGATGCTTAGGACATTTCCAGCTCAAAACAGGATTTTGCTCACCCTAAAGGAGACTGAAAGATAAAGCAGAGAGGGTCTCTGGGCAGCAAGTTCCAGTTCTCCCCTAGATGCTGCTGACAGCCCAGTGCAGAACTGGTTGGGAATCCCATAGATATCCTCAGAGCTACCCCTATTTTAATTCCACCTTAATGCATTTGGGGGGATATTCACCACCTAGCATGTACAGTAGGTGCTGCTTAAGACAAGGTGATTTTCCCTCTCTCATGAGAAGAGCTCCTAGCTCTGACAAGGAGCAAGGGGAAAACATGACCCATAGATGAAGTCCTCACATAAAACACAGTTTTAATCCTTAAAGAAGGTTTTTGCTGCAGCACATTAACAAGAGTGTGAGATAAACACTGGACATTAATCATTGATGGATTGATTTTCAAAGGCTAGAGGAAGGACAGCAGTAAATCAGTGCAGGAGAGCACGTCTGGGCAGCCCAAGAGCCTGTGGGAAAAGCACTTGCAAATTCACCTCCACTCTCCTCTGCTGGCTCCCACCCCAATAAATGCACTTAGCCCTTCACATACTCACTTTATGCTAAGGCAGTGCAGCAAATACAGCATGTTCCTCTATTTGTCTTGTTGCAGTGGTTGTTTTGACTCGACAGAGCCTGGTGTTTGGAGACGAGGGACAGATGGGACCGAGTTTGCCACCTTCAGCTCCCAGGACAAAGACCTGGCTAGAGGACGAGTATTTCATCCACCCAACCTACCCTTAAAATCCTAGCAGCACCACTACACTCTACCCAGCTGTGGATAAACAAGCTTCATCTATTTCAAGATAACCTAGTTTATCTATTTCAAGATAACAGCTGCATCCATAGTCGTTGCAGCTAGGGTAACTTTCCAGATGCTGCCTCTAGGTGTGGAGGATTTTTTCCAGAAAACAGCCCACAGCCACCTGCATTTTGCAAGAGCAACAGACCACAATCCAGAATGTGTTTTTCTTTTCTTTCAGGAGGTGAAAACGTCTGTCAGAGCCGTGTTGCCACCTTCACAGGAGTTTCCTGATCTTTTCCAATCAAAGCCATCAGGAGCACAGAATTAATTTTTACAAGATGCAAAAACATCCTTCACCCAGGAAAGCAAGCGAGACAAAGAGGAGAGGGAGGAAGGCTCCCTTGCTGGGAGAGGAGAAGCAGGTCCGAGATGCTGGAGAATGGCTGAAAATTCAGCTGCTGCTCCTGCGATGGTGGGTGGCTGCCAAGCATCTGCCAGAGGTTTGTTAGCAACGTGTGCACCTCAACTGGAAAGCCATTCATGGGGAAATCTTTGGACAATCATTGCACCCAAGAACAACGTGCATCACAGCCTCGTTTCTCCCATTTCTGTCCACAGCGTAGCACCGAAGATGATCATTAACACGCTCTTCCCATCAAACCCAATGGTGTTTCAGTGCACAAGTCCCAGTGGGTAGGAGAGAGCAGCACCAGCCCTTGATGCAACTTTCAAGCCCCAAGGAAAGGGCCAGGCCAGGTATTGGGGTTAGTTAAAAAAAAGCTGCACTAAGAGAAGAGCAAGAGCTCTTTCAGAGCTGGAGAATCTCCCAGGGAGACAGAAAACAGTATTTAGGGCAGCCAAGCTATGAAAGAGCATGGGGAGCTGGGAGGACAGGGAAATTGCTGCTCACCCCTGCACTGACTTCAGAAGAAAGAACAAGAGGCATTTGATTCCGTATGCGGAAACTTTGGTGCATAGAAATCACCATCTATGGGGTACAGCTAGACCATCAGAGAAACCAGCAGGAAGAAAGGAGGACAGGTCAGAGCAGAATGGAAGAAGTTGTCCCTTGGGCTCAAAAAATACCTCCCCAGCATCTCTTCATGAGGCAATTCTGCAGTACAGTGCAGAAAGCACCGACAGACTCCTCTGTGCAATGCTGCAAGTCATGCAACAAGGTTCAGCACGAGGGATCCCAAAAGTGAATTATCCGCCTCCCATCCCCAAAGGACCAGTCTGAAGTAGCACCTTTTAAGAAGGGGCAGAGTCTCTTTGTCAATATTTGCAAATATATTCATTGTAGCATCTGCATTTGCTTCGTCAGCCTCCTCTTGGAGGGGCCAGCAATCTCCATAGACTCTCTTCAGCAATCTTAAGCGCCGGGATTGAGAAAAACAAAACCACTGTGTTCACAAGGCTTAAACCAGGACTCACCTGGGAAAAGAAAATCCCTTCCCTAGAGCCCCCCATCTTCCTCCTGCAAGAACTGCGCTCTTGGGAAGGGCACAGCCCAGACAAGGTTTTGGGAGAAGGCAAACCCATGCAGCAGGACAAGGGGCTCCTATAGGATCTATCTTCTCTCGTAAAAACAAGCCCAAGCACTTGCAGACAGCTTTTAACTTGACCCTGCCATCTAATTGCACACACCCCTCTCCTGAAAACTGGACGTTGCTGCATCCAAGCAAGGACGAGTCCTTAGGAACAGGGATATAATACAATAAAAACTCTCATACCAGAGACAGCAGCTCCCTGGGAACATCTAGGCAGCAGAGCTTAAGTCAGTTGATTCCTCTTCGCTAGAATAGCAGAACAGTGAGACAAGTATAATTTATGGCCATTCTAGGCATAAATACACCAAAAAGTCTTTGACTTCCCTTCTATCCCTCTTTGTCTTTGCATTTGCCTTCCAGCTCCCAAATCCAGGACTCCACAAAGTTACCAAGCCAAGCAATGCATCAGGTCCTGCTAGATACTCTGCCCACATGCAACGGGAGAAGAAACTCATCTGACTCCCACAGGCCAAGCACAACCCTGCAGGATGAAGTGGTTCTGCCCTCCTGCCATCTCTCCATGCTTCCAGCACATCCTGCTCACAGGCAGGTCAAGAGGGAGATGAGGGCATCCAAATCCCTTAGGTGATAATGAACAAGGAGAAGCTGAACTTGCCTCACGCTAGCAGCTGACTTCATCTTAGCTAATGCAATCTGCAGCCCTCGCTGCTTACAAGTAATTAGAATTTTTGGTAGGAGTGCAATCCACTCATTTAGAGTAAAATCCCTCAAGCTCTAACAGGAGAAGGAGAGCACACGATGCTCCTCACTTCACTGATATTTCATTGTTTGCCATCATTATTTGCAATTTTCCAGGGAGTGATCATTTCAGGTGATTGAGGATGAAGCTATTAAAAATCCTCTCTGCAGATTCATATATTTTTTTTTTTTTTACAGTCTCATTCCTCCTCGCCATTTCAAAACCACAGACCTTGAAGTGAGCAAATCCCTCCACTCTTCAGAGACAGAAAACCTCTTTACTTCTGCTATGGCTCCAGATATTCCTCACCATTCTAGGAAGAAACACCAGGCATCCAGGGCCCACTGTTCACAAGACTGAAGTCACCTTCAGGCCATAAAGGCAGAAACTTTCGCCCTGAAGATTTTAGTCCAGATGCTAGGAGAGGAAAGATGATTTAGGTAAAAAATAGCAGTGTCGACAGCCTGATTTACAGAGGTATTAGGTAAAACAGTGCGGAGAAGCAGGTAATTAATTCAGATCCTAAAAGCCCCATCCCAGCATCTGAATCTCTTGTCCCTTGAGGAGCAAAACATTTGTGCCCACACGGTCACCTCTGCAGAAGACCTTCAGAGCAAGGCTTTGCTCATCACCTCCTCACTGCCCCAATTGCACTTCGCAACCAGCTTGAAGGACAACAAATCCACCCAAAACACCAAGCCCCAGGACATGCAGGGTCCTCTTGCTGTCTACCTCCCGCTAACCGCGCTCGCTTCCCGCAAAGCGGCGCTGCTCAAGATCTTGCTGTTATTTGGATCGATAGCAACAGATGCCTGATAACCTGCTCGTGGGCATCTGCTTTCAGAGTGATGCCCCCCAAAGACAGTCTCAAAAAATATTCCTAAGTCCCCATTCTTTTATTATTTTTTTTTTACAAGAGGAAAATGCAGCTATTCTCCTAAAAATCCAAGTAGCTGCAGAGAGAAACATATTTCCTTTTTATTTATCTAGGATTTTTTGATACTTCTCTTGAAAAGGCTCAAGTCTATCAAACCCATAACTAGGAAAGGAGGGGAGGAGAAGTGAGGGAAGCAGGAAGGGAAGACAAATGTCTCTGGAACATCAGGTAGGCACAGAACATTATGTAAATAACATGCAGCAGGCAGCAGATATGCGCTGGGTTCTCACATATGCTATTGATGTTGCTGTCATGCTCACTCT